TCTCTCTCTCTCTCTCCTCTCTCTCTCTCTCTCTCGCTCTCGCTTCGCTCTCGCTTTCTCGCTCTTTTAGCAAGACAAATTTACTAAGAATTTTCCATTTGGAAATGATTTACTCGTTATCCCTATATTTAGCTGTTATTAATGTCCATTTCGTTAACCGTGAATCAATTTGGATAGTCGATTGAATACACACTGTAAATAATCCATGACGTGTCGCACGTATTATGAACGAGATAAGAGTGCAAGCAACATATACTCGGCCTCGCTCGAGTGACCCCCCTTAATTTATTTACCTTGATGATTTATGTGTTACAACAGTAACACATTTCCCCTGCGGCGAACTGCTAATCGCAGTTCAACCGCTCCTTGCAGTTCGGAAACATTACGTCAGAGACGTGTGAGATCAGTGGACTAGTACGGATAATCTTAATGAAACATCGTAAGAAATAGCATTAATAATAATCTAAGCGTTCCATCTGTATTTTAAATAATTTGATTGTGATGTCCATTTAATCTACCCGAGTTATCAATTTTACCCGAATATTCCGTTTTATAACGCACTTAATAAATTAATCCGTACGTATTAGCACGCTGTTAATAAAAGAGATAATAATAGTTAACACTTGGGACGGGCAAATTCCATTTCTTAAAGCAATTTTTTTTCTTTCGAGATAAGCCAAAGGGAAGATAGGATAGATATTTTTCCATTTTGTGCCTTTCGGCTTGAAAGGCCCTATAATTTTAACATAATATAATATTTTATATATATATATATATATATATATATATATATATATATACGATAGTCTGTTAGTCTAATAAAAAAGTTACATAACATTGTTCTAAATTATATTAAGTTTTAGCCTATTTAGTCTAGCAATTACATTTATTTCTTGTTTATTTTTTTTTTACTCATTTTTTACTTATGTTTTCTTATTGTTATCTTACTGTTATTCGTATTTCTAAAGAATTCTTTAACTTTCTTTGATTCCGTTCTAGAAAAAAAGATAGATACATAATGAGATATTGCTAGATATGATCTTTGTCCGTTAGTCTTCAAATTTTTCTATAAAGACAGACACACGTAGAAAAGACGAGAGAGCAACGAAATAATAAGATTGATGAATCAGAAAATTGACGAATAGAAGAGTAATAAAATGACGAATTTTAGTAGATAAAATAAGTGAAATTAGGATCAGTAACACTAATTAAAAAAATGATTATCCTGTAGGTGGTTTTGGTCCTGTGAATCTTGGATTATTTTCCGGGATGATTGCCGCAGATCGTGTTCCTACCATTCAACTCTCGGACGCCGAGCTAGACACCATGGCCGCGACGGAGGTCGACAGCAAAGTCAAGACGAAATTGCTCTCTATGTGGAACAATGTTAAATATGGTGTGTACATTCACCATCTTGCAGTGACATTTTTACGTTCTGGAAATATCTTATTCGCACATTCACGCCTTAGAATATTATAACTTTATTACATTATTGTCTTATAACAATGACAAAAATGTTCGTTGTCTATAAAATATGAGAAATCGTAATTGATTTTTTTTTTTTAATTTTTTGTAAAGGATGGACTGTAAAGATGAAGACGAACTTCTCCAAGGAATCTCCCGTGTGGTTGTTGGGTCAATGTTATTTGAAGAAATCAGAATATCCCTTGGAGAGAGCATCGGAGGCGTTGGAACCAGTTGGAACAGGCAGTCAGGTCTCCTTGGCGATGGATGCCACCAATTTTGAGAACACCATCGAGGAGTTCAAGAGAGATTTCACATCCCGTCTCTGGTTAACGTACAGACGAGAATTCCCGATTCTAAACGGCTCCACTTTCACCACAGACTGCGGCTGGGGCTGCATGCTGCGTAGCGGGCAAATGATGCTGGCGCAAGCGTTAGTCTGCCATTTTCTCGGACGAGGTAATTATTTCTTTTTATCAAATTTATTTTATTATGGGATACGCTGATCTTCTACTATTTTTGCAACTTTTCATTTAAAAACTATTATAGTCTTGGCATATAATAGGCATATTAGACTTCTTATCTTAAAATAATGACCCTAGGAGTTATCATTAATGATTATGCAAGATTTGAAATATTTGCGTTTAAGTCAACAACTATAGAAAATTTAAACAATTAAAATTAAATCGCAAACAAAATTACATCGCAATTTTTTTATTATTATCATTATCATTAAGATTCATAAATCAATCTTATAAATCATAAATCATAAATCGTATTTTTGCTTTCGATTTTAATCGATGAATCTGATTATTGTTGTATGATATAGATTTGAATAATAAGATTATTTTTTGATGCAGAGTGGAGATGGCGACCAGAACAATCGACTGATGAGAACAGTCATCGGATGATAATCAAATGGTTTGGTGATCAGCCAACACCGGAATCCCCATTTTCTATACACAAGTTGGTATCGCTTGGCGCTTCGACAGGGAAACGCGCGGGCGACTGGTATGGTCCCTCTTCGGTTGCACATCTTTTGTGTCAGGCTATGGAACGCGCCAGCGAGGATCCCAACAGTAAGCTCAATCAATTGGCGGTGTATGTTGCCCAAGATTGTGCAGGTTAGTATTAGCGAATGCAGCATTACAATGAGAAATGATTCAATTATCGAAACTAAAAAAGCGAATATCACTTATTCTTAAATTTAAAAGCAATAGTAAAAGTTTAAAAAAGTATGTAACAAATATATATAATTTGTTATAAAGAAACAGAATTTTTTAAAAATTGAATGTTTTTTTTTTTTAGTATATCTGCAAGACGTCGAGAATGTCTGTTGCACTCCTGATGGTAGACGAAAGGCGCTGATATTATTGGTGCCCTTGAGGCTCGGTGCAGACAAATTGAACCCTGTCTATGCGCCCTGTTTGACATCGTTATTAACATTGGACACGTGCATTGGCGTAATTGGCGGCCGACCACGACATTCGCTTTACTTCATCGGCTATCAGGACGACAAACTGATCCATTTGGATCCGCATTACTGTCAGGTTTAATCAGAGTTTAATCTTTTAAATCCAAAAAATAAACATTATTTTAATATCCGATATGCTTAAAATTCGCCCTTATTATCTTTATTATTTTAATTTGTATTATTTTTTATCCTTTTTCACTTTTGTCTTTAGAAGTATATATATCTATTTTTCAATTAATTTTATTTTTGTGATTTTTTTTCCTTTCTTTTATTACTTCAGAATGGACTTTATAAAGTAATTACATTAAATTACTGATTTATGTCTTCATTTATTCAGGAAACCGTTGACGTCGAAGGAAATGAGAAATTTCCATTAACAAGTTTTCACTGCACGTCACCGAGAAAAATGCTGCTCTCAAAGATGGATCCCAGTTGTTGCGTAGGCTTCTATTTTCCTGACAAAGAGTCACTCACTGACTTTATGGAAACAATTCGGCGGGTGAGTATGTGGACACATTCTTAACATGTTTGCATCGATAGGATTCGAGCATTTTAAATGCAAATACATATAATTAATATATAACGTTAAATAAAAAAAGAATAAGATCAGAATATACTTTATAGCTTTCAAATTTTCATGTTTTAGAGATGAAAAATAAATCAAACAGAATTAAATGTAGATATAGGATATTAAAGAAATGAAAGGAAAAAAAAGTAAAAAAAGTTAAAGTAAATAAAAGTTTATATTGATTAAAACAAAAATATCTCATTAACATTGCAGTTTGTGATACCGAATCAGAAGATGGATTATCCGATGTTCCTATTCTGCGAAGGAAGCGGTAAGGATCTGCAGCAAGGAATCGAGGTTGTTGAGGGTTCTCTCTCATCGACAGGTCAGTTCATCGGTCACGAGAACGTGGACGATCTGTACGAGTGCGAGGAATTCGAGTTGCTGCATTAAAATAATAAAAGGAAAAAAGAAGAGGACAAATTCGGAGATGTGACACGTGTGATCGCGTGTTTACCTGAGTTATTCTTGTGAGAATGTCTCTTGTTCGTCCAATACCTCGTGGCAATACTTCCTTTCATATAGCCGCTTTTTCAGAGCGCATGTAGGAAAACGTTATAGCAACCGCGAGCTTTGAGATGTATCATCTTAAAAAAGGTGGAGGCGCTCAAGAGGTGGAGTGCAGCGCATTCCCATCGATCTCAATGCGTATATGAAGATAGGATTCGAGTTAATTCAATGACCAGTTACTGTTACTTGAGATAAGAAATAAGAAAGCCAGATTATTCTGAATGACGTTAGTACAACTTATTCGATTAAACTGATTCATTCGTCTTTTCGATTATTTAATGTGTACATAAGATGTATGTAATTATTATGACGATGTACAATTTTTCATATTTCTAATTATTATCTTGAAATTCGTTGATGGCTTCATATATTGATCATTAGTAATAACTTGATAATAATTTAATATGACTTAATATTATAATAGTCTATTTATAAGCGAATATTTATTTCGCGTATTACAACGAGGCAGTTTTCGGCAGTTTTGAAATAATGTTACGACGCGCGTTAAAAAATCCCATTAAATTGTCGATTTGAAAACTGAAAATTGCAATGCATATTTTGTGTAATTCTCTTGAAATGTACGCAACAAAAATCCGGGCGAATCTCGCGCGACGATTCTCAAGTCTGATTTATTTAAAACTAAAATAGTAAAGTAATAAGATGTTAATTTATTTATTTATTTATTTATAATTGAGTTATTGTTAAGTAACTCTTCTGCCTTGAAAAGGGAATAAAGATGGATATGAGGGACGTAAACATGATATACAGGGTGAAGCATTTAATAGTGTATGCCTAAATGTATAAAAAAATTTGATATCTCTATTTATATATAAATATATAAATAAAAAAAAGATCTGAAAAGGTATTGAGATCGTATTATAAACCGAAAAGTATTGCGATAACGTTTTTGAAATTTCGAAAGCTATGACATTAAATGAGTTTTTTCTCTATTATAGTTTTATAAGATATATTACTTCGTCTTCAACAATATTTCCAAGAGCAGGAAATATTTGCAATAAAATAAAGTAGAATAGAGAATAGAATAGAAAGAAAAAAACATTCATTTTGCGTCTTAAAATTATTCGAGCGCTCTAAAAGCACTATATGTGCAAATTGCTTGATTGATGACAAATAAACCTAGAGTAATAAACCTTCTAAATATAACAAAATAGATTTAAAAATAGAAAAAAAGAATGAGAGGAAGTTATTGGAAAGAATTATTATAAAAATTAGAGTATTAAAAAGAATTTATTAAATAGAAGATTGCTAAAGAATCGTTTAGATATACACTTTTTTTAGATGCCTCGGACTGTATATGTATGTATACGTGTATGCGTATGTATATTGTACTTATACTGTTGAATATGTACACAATATTAAATATTGTTATATATCTCTTACAATGATAATGCTATATGCTCGAAATAAAATGAAAAATATATGGCAATTACGTCATCCCTAAAGAATATATCCTTGAATCGTTAATTATTACTTTGTACTATATCTTGGATTTTGACAAAGCAGCAATTCATCATGTGCGTATAATGTGCTTAAGCTATTATGAAATCTCTCGTTGTATTATCT